CACTTAAAACATCCTCTGTGGAAACCATCTGTGTTACTGCTCTGTGCTGTGTCCTGTGCTGTTTCTTCATGAGCTTCCTCTAAATTCAAGAGGGACGTTTAAGTATTTACTGATAGTAACAGTATAGTACTTCGTTATCTGAAAAGTACTTGCCCCCTTACCTCCTTCCACTGTGAATTTAAGTGATCTAAGGATAGTTAGGTCCATATCTTCCTGAGAATCCCTGTCTCTGGGCTGTATTTCTTTCCCAGTTTCTTCACAAGGTATACTTCTTTGTATCCTCTCTTGCTTCCACCTGTCCCATTACAGAGGAAGCGATGTGGTATGAAGGCATTAGTCATCCCTTCAGGATGGAAACTCCTTTCTGTGTTAATCTGTTAAAGGTGCTGATAAAGACTAAGCAGGTTTGAGTCCGAAGAGAACCTTCTATTTTTCTGTATTAGCTTTTACTCTTTCAAGAGCAAGACTACTGGAAGAAAGTCCCAGAGGTGGGCGAGGACCAGAACAGTTGTATGGCTGACACTTAACTTCATATATCCCTTCCATCATCCGTGAACACTTTATATTGCAAAGCTAGATGTTGAATGCTAAACACTTTATAAAGGTGAAGTCTTGAGCTCAGGCTCTCTGCAGCCTGAGTAGGTTAAATTCAGATTGTCAGGGAAGCAGTTTGAGCAAGAATCTGAAGACTCGATCTGGCAGCTACAGTTGTGATTCTTGAAACTTGACTTTTTTTCCCCACAGTATATGTAAAAGAGACAACCAGTCTACAAGAAGTCGATTGTATCTGTTGGGAAACATGTTTTTCAGCAGAGGTAATAAAAATAACTTCAGTTATAACAAATATTTCCAGTGAACTCTTGAGTTGCACTCAAAGAACTAAGAAGCATTGCTGTCTGATCAGTGAATGAGTACATGAGTAAGCAGATGATTTGGATGCAACTGATGTTTTATTCACAACTTAATTCTTACTTGGGTGTATATCAAGGCAAGGCGTATATCCTGATGTTGCTGCAGTGAGCTCTGCTGTGAAAGCCAGGGATGTTCCATCAAATGATAAGTACCAATAGTTGCCTGTCATTGCAGAATTTTATTTTCCAAATAGTTAGTTCTTTTCGTGCACTTTTTACTTTGAACTTATACATTTGTCTGCAATCTTTGTGAACTTGGCTATTCCTCTTCCCCTTCCAAGATATCACCTGGGGGAAGCTGCACGTTAATAGTATCCTGTGCTATAATCTTCAGTCATTCATGTAGACAGCTTACCAAATGTGGAGAATTGGACCACAGCTCTGATCATCTGGCTAAGGGGCTTAATGTTATCTAATGCACTGTGTTGGTACCAAAGAGATTATTAGGAGCAGAAGAGGTTTGGAGGCTGAGAGAGTGAGTTGAAGGAGGAGGGGTGTAAAACCCCTCAGGAAATCAGTAGCCATCTCAATTTGCAACTTCTGTAGTGCAGCAAAATGTATTCTCTGGAGTTGTGGGCTGTATTTGATGGGGAAAGTGTCAAAGAGGATGCTTGCTAAAAAGCTGCTTTTTAGAAGAAACAACTATAATGAAGTAACACTTCGTGCTGAAGTCTTGTCTTAGATTTCATCTTCTTAAACCAAGTGCATAAATATTTGTGGTATTTGAAATGCATATGTAGTGTTTCTGGTAGTTTGTTTAGTCTTATTAGGCAAATAGGGATGTTAAACATTAACTGAGTGTTATATAACTGTGGGTATGATTAAATTTAATTTGGTCAAGACAGTAAAAGCATACTCTGTGTACATTATATAGTAGTTGATAAATGTATTTCTGTAGAGACATTCCATTGACTTGCCAAGTAATCATTGTCACAATTGTCATTAATGGCGAAGTTGACTTAAAATCTGAAGCCACACCTACACTGCAGGCACAGGAGTGAATACAGGCTATGTTAGCTTGCTTGACCTGTCCCAGCTAAACTGCACTGGAACAAGCTTCAGCATCTCTGCCACATTTTGGTCATGACTGAAGTGTCTGTTTAAACTACAGAATCAGAGATGCTGTTCACGTTCTGTCCTTTTTCCTTCCTGTGCTCCTTTAAGCATTTTTGAAACTAGGGAGCTTCTTAGCTATTTCTGTTGCTACATAACCGAGAAGTGAAGAGAAACTGAGCTTCCGAGGGATGTGTATGCCTGAAAAGGGTGTTAGCAGATATGCGTAGTACTCTGCTATGAAGAATAATTGCAAGAGGGGACTGCCAAATGTATATGGTCCTGTGCACTGGAGGTGCCCCTGGGGCTGGTAAGGGGGGGTCTGCGTGCTTATCAATCCAAGCCCTGCAGAACTGGCTCCATGTCCCTCTGGAGTGCACATTTTGTGGCTTGAAGTCTCTTTGACTCCTTGCTCCATACTTCAGTATTTTATTGTGTGAATATTGGGGGAGAGGGAGGAGAGCTTGTGGATGATAGAACTGCTTTATAATTACAAACCAACACCTTTCATGCACCCTAGCTTGGTAAGTGCATTGGGGTTTTGTGTTGGTAATTTAACTGGGCCTCTATAGTGCCCAGTGGTGTTTTCCCTGCCAGGTAACAGAGTGCTTCATAAATCTATCCAATGGTATTAAGTAAATTTTATGGCTCAGTCATCTTTTTCCTGTATTTGGCTTTTAGGAACAGGACAGCTGCTAGGCTTCTCAGGTGGTTTAATTCACATGTGAAGTTTCAGCCCAGCAAATTTCTTTTTCCCCAGATTACCCATCAAGTTATTTTAAGAGTGATTTACTAATAAAATACATATTTAGGTATTTACTCAACAAAATCAAGGCCATAAAACATAATGCTGAACAAGATAGATCTGCTTTTTTTGATCAGAAGTAATCCAGTTGGATGTATTAAAGGACTGTGTAAGTTGCTCGCACAGGAAGTAGCCTCTAGAAAAAATGCCATGTAAAAAACCTTCTGTCTTCCCTATTCCCCAAGCTCCCCATTCTCCCCTTATTTTAATAGTAAAGCTTTTAGATATCAGTTACATTCTTTTTCTTGAGTGATTTGTGACTGACTTGAGATGTGGACAAGTTTTGTCTAAAGCTTTATTTAAGGAAATATAAAATAATTTGGAACTATAAGTAAAAGTGATGGGGAAAGGAATTAGAGTTGTTTGTACAGATAGGGTTAGAATGGAAATGTTTAATCTATGCATAGGTATTTCCACAATACCTCATGATTTGGTAACCTGATCCACCTTGTCCATGACAAAAGGGCATTTTGGGTGTCTTATTCAATTTAGAAACCTAGTCCTGAGTATTTTTCCACTTTTGCGTGGTTTAGACTAGCTCAACTCTTTTGAATTCCGTGAATTTTTATTGACTTGAAATTGATATAAAATGAGAGAAGGATCAGGTTAAAGTAACTGCCAATAAATTTGATAAGAATATTCAGATGTCATGGAGTCAGCCTTTTGTTTTTGAGTTGGAATTGAGTAACATCATCACTGAAGTCAGAGTTGCACCAGCACACAAGGCTCGTGTGAGATTAGGAGGTGGCCTTATGCTTTCTGATGGATTCTATGTGCATAGTCTGAGATTGGAAAGATGGCCTGGCAAATGGGAAGCTAAGCTAGAGGAGGGAATAGAATCATTTAGGTTAGAAGAGACCTTCAAGATCATCCTAACACTGACAAGTCCACCACTAAGCCATGGCTCTAAGTGCCACATCTACATGCTTTTTAAATACTTCCAGGGATGATGACTCCACCATTTGCTTGTCAACGCTTTCCCTGAAGCAATTTTTCCTAATATCCAATCGAAACCTTCCCTGACACAACTTGAGGCCATTTCCTTTTGTTGTTATCACTTTTTACCTGGTGCAGGAGACCCCCACCTTGCTACCATCTCTTTGATGATGGCTGTAGAGAGTGACAGGGTGTGTTACCCTGCCCCAAGCCTCCTTTTCTCCAGGCTGAAAAACCACAGCTCCCCCAGCTGCTCCTCATAAGACTTGTGCTCCAGCCCCTTCACCAGCTTCACTGCCCTTCTCTGGACTTTCTCCAGCACCTCAATGTCTTCATGGTGAGGAGCCCAAAACTGAACACAGGACTCAAGGTGTGGCCTCACCAGTGCTGGGTACAGGGAAACCATCACTGCCCTGGTCCTGCTGGCCACACTATTGCTGGTACAAGCCAGGATGCCGTTGGCCTCCTTGTCCACTAGGACACACTGCTGGCTCATATTCAGCCATTGTCAACCAATACCCCCAGTCCTTTTTTGCTGGACAGCTTTCCAGCACTCTTCCCCCAGCTTGCAGCGCTGCAGGGGGCTGTTGTGGCCCAAGTGCAGGACAAAGTGCTTGACCTTGTTGAGCCTCATACAATTGGCCTCAACTCATCAATCCAGCCTGTCCAGATCCCTCTGCAGAGCCTTCCTGCCCTTGAGCAGATCAACACTCTCACCGAACTTGGTGTCATCTGCAAACTGACTGAGGGTGTCCTCGATCCCCTTACTGAGATCACTGATAAATATATTAAACAGAAGTGGTTTAATAATAAGGTAAGCCTGCGGTACCTTTCGCCAAACCATTGAAAATGTCTCTATATGTATTAGTGGTCTTTCTTCTCCTGGATAGTGATGCAGTGTTGATAGCAGACAGGGAAGCCTGCACCGTTAATCTGGAAACTGTCATAGCTGAAGACGAAACTCACTTCTCCAGTGTTGCAATATAGCATCACTGGTGTATGTCAAAGAGTATTAGGAGGTGCTGTGGAAGGAAAACAAAACCTTGAAATCTTTAGTATCAGTTTGATCTCTTTTGCATCAAATATGAGCAAGTAGAATGTAAAACTATTTTTAAAGCTACTTTTTCCTTCTGAAATAGTTTGGCACAAGTTCTGAAGCGTAGTTAGTTGTTGAATAAAGAAACTTCCCAGCAACTGCCCTTTGATTATTTCTAAATGTAGATTACAGCTGTCCTTTTGGGAAAGGCACATAGCTTAGCATGTGAGAAACTGACACCTTTTTCTTTCCTTTTCAGAGTATCTCCTCTACAGAAGTCCGAAATAGTAGACATGGTCAAGAAACACGTCAATGCCATAACACTTGCCATTGGGGATGGTGCCAATGACGTAGGAATGATCCAGACAGCTCACGTTGGAGTGGGGATCAGTGGCAATGAGGGCATGCAGGCAACCAATTGCTCGGATTATGCCATTGCACAGGTCAGATGCAAAAAAGAGCAACTGCCATATCATCTTGTCAGAAATGCACTGTGCAGCAATGTAGAGCTTGATGGCTTCTTCTCCCCTTCAAACTAGAAGCCTCTCTGCTTGTTTCCTTTTCAAGGCACCTGTCTAAAACATATTTTGGGAATATTTTGGGAATTTGTTATTGTTCTGTATTCTTCAGGGCAAAGCTCCACCTCTCTTCAAAGTTTTAGCTTCCTCCTAATAGCTGTGTAGTATCTTGGTTCTTGAGTAATCGGGGGAAGCACTTTCTGTGGTGCTTGTGTTAATATGCTTTTAAGTAACTTATCTGTCTTGATGCAAGCTCTTTTCTCTTACTACAAGTAGGGGTTATAACCAGGTGTGTGAGAGTTTGGCTGTTTGGCAGTTCTTAGAGGTGTCTTCTCCTTTATTTTTGTTCCCCTTACCCCTGTGATGCATCCAAGAATTGGTCACAGTTCTAGAGGGCTGGACAGCATTTTCATTTTACATGTGTTATTTTGATTGTTATTTGGGTGAGTGATCCCAAACTATTCCATCCAATTCAGCACTGATTACTTGAGCTAAAAAGGAGAGTTAAAAGCCTTTTTGCCTTTTTTATTGTATTACTGAAAAACCAAGATGTAGAATAAAGACTTTAAAAAAAAACAGAAGAAAGGAAGGAGATGCTTCAGTTGCTGGACATCTTTTAATACTATTTACAGCTGAAATGCTCTGTGTATGTGTTTGAGACTGATGAAGGGCAAAAACAGATGGAGCTGATGGAACAGAGATCAATCCACTGTCTCTTCAGTGATCTCTGAACTTCAGCTAATATTCCCTTCTGGCAGGATGTAGGCAGATTTGTTCTACCAAGTGACATAAAATACTACCATCTTTTGTTAGTTTCAGTAGCAGGTGATGTTTTAAAAAGGTTTGGATAAGTGCTGTTTGCACAGATAACTGTTTATTGTGTTAACCCTGCTGAGAAGCAAAGTGGCACTCTCGAATTGCTGCTCTGTACTGCAGTCAGATGAAGCACACGCAGGATCAGGTTTGAATAACTGAGACCTTTCACCAGATTTATCTTGAGAATTTTAGGCAGTTCTATCAAGTACTTACTCTGTCATAAAGAGTTACTTATTTCAAATATATAGCATTATAGAGAATGCCAAAATCATTGTCCATGGTATCTTGTAATAACTTTTTCATTTTTAATTTCTGAGGATTATATGTTGCTTCTGCTGTAAAATTTAATTGAATGCTCTTTACTTTGATTTCCTCAGATCACTTATTACTTTTATTTTAATAACTAAGCATAAGCAGTGAGAGTTTATCCATAGAAGACCCTACACACTGAATTACTTTTGTGTTGCAATAGCATTAAATCTGGAGAAGTAATTCCATGTTCATGTGTTGCTTCTGCATTAACAAAAACCCCTGTATTTTGGTTTAGTGTTAGAATGTGGAAGTTGCTTTTGGTTTAAATTCCAGTCAGTGAGTTACTGAACATAGGAATGAATCTTTTTAGTTCAATATGAAATAAAACCTGGTCACACCAGCACAGAATTGTAGCTTTCAATAATCACTAAAACACTGTGGAACTGTATTTTTTGTGGTTGTGTAGAAGTGCTTTGTGCGATTAGAAAACATATAAAGAAATCCCTCTTGTAAGGGAGACTAATACTGTGTGGTAATGTGTGCTTTAAAAAAAAAGTGTTCAAAAGAAAAACTCGATCTCCGTGGAGTATGTTTCTTTCAGCAAAGACATATAACTCCCACTAAAGCGTTACTGTATGTGCATGCCTTGAAGGCAGAGTATGTTCTTATTGAGTAATTTAAGACGACCACTCTAATGTAGCATCTCATGTTCAAATGGTATTTCAAATGCAGTGGTGCCAGAAGTAGGCACTTATAGAAGAGAAAGTCTCTATATAGGCTCACTCGGGATTCCAGGGAGAATCAAAGCATAAACCAAACAAAAATAAAAAGCCATCTTGGGTCTGACTCAACTCCAAATGGCTTCCACAGGTGCAAGGAGCATCTGTTTGAATCATCCTTTTCCCTTGAAATGAAATGGTACCACTGATCTCTATTTAGAGAATTCCCAAATCAAATGATCTAACTGTTTAGTGAGACAGTAATAGACTTTAATAACTTTTTTCCTCAGTAACTAGCTTTATCATCTTAATTCGGAGAACATCTGGTGTCTAGGGACTGTTCCCTTTTCTTAATTAGGAAAGCTGCCTTCTTCAACAAATGTTCTTGTTTCAGTTTTCTTCTTTGGAAAAATTGGCTTGTATTGAGGATGCATTTTCACTGTCTTAAAACCCCCCAGCATGCCATCACCTCACCCTTCAGTCAAGATGGAGGTATCTTTCTAGAAGATAATCTCTGTATGAAAGAAGTTATGCTAGAGTCGATATAGAGATGACTGTGAAAACTTACACAGACTGTTTCACAGGAAGGCTGGCCAGATGGTCGTAATGTTCCCTGCTGATTTAAAACTCTCTAAATACAGGAGTGTCCAAAGAAGGGCAGTGTTGTAGTAGAGCCCCTGTCTGTACTGTTGCTCTATGCCAGTAGCTGTGTGTTTGCATAATTTCAGCATCAAAACAAATTTAATTCTTTGCCATGTTGTAGTGGAACTCTTCACCAGTGTGAGCAGGCTCAGCGCGTGATTTAGGCTGTACCTTCCTTGCTGTGTTCTGCAGTTCTGCAATGCACTCATTTTCATGAGAGCACAGATGAGACAATTAATGGTAGGATTTTTCCTTGCCCTGAGCTCCAGAGAAGACTACATCCAAAATGGCCAATCCTTAGTTTCAGCAGACAAGTTTTCAGGGTGTGTCCAACTACTCTCTACAAGAGGTTTGGGGTGACTTTTAAGGACATAATGGCAAGTTTCCCATCACCTCTGATGTGTTTTGTTAGTGATTTTGATGAGGAAACTTGTTGCTGTCCTGCATATTAACTTGAGGTATTAGGTGTCTAATAGGTCAGCTACTCCTTTGTGAGTCTCACAGTTTCAGCCCTGGCTCAAGTTGGGCAGAGACTGAACCATGAAGCTTGGTTCATTTTTGTTTTCTCTCCTTCTTTACTGGTATATCCTAACAAATCTGAGTTGCTAATGCATGGGAGAGGGGCACAGGATTTGTGGTTCAGTGATTTCAGTGCTGGAAAGCATGGGAGCAGAGCTCTCTCTTGACAGTCCTAACTCATTACTTTAGCTTTCAGTTTCAAATAAGTTTTAGTTGAAATAAATGATCTAGAATCTAAATTTAGGAAGACAAGCTTTTCCTGTGAAGTCACTTTGTGGAAAAGGGAGCAAAGCAAAATAGTGGTCCCACCTTACTGTCCCAGATGCCTTCAGGTACACACGTGCTGAACAGTAAACACAGTCACCAGTTTGAGCTGGGGAGCTGGACAAAGGAGGAATGCTTCAGGCCGTAAAAAAATTGACTAACAAAACCATCAGTAGAAAATTATGCATTTCCCAGGCTGGATTATGAGACTGGTTCTATAGAAGTTCCATTTTCAAAAAGGTTGAGTTTGAGCTGTATCTGTGGTTCAAACTAGCATTAAAAGGTACACATTTGTGCAAGACTTATTTACTTGCCCTTTTTGGCAAATGCCCCTTTCTACATATATATATATATATATGCCCCTTATACAATATTTTAGGTGCTTTCTATAACACATGATCACATACATTTTGTATGCTGGAAATGTTAATGTAAATATCTATTCTCTGTAAATGACTCTATGCATCTCTTTTCCGTTTTTGTTCCCCCTTGTGCACTTTATATCATTTCAAGACACTTGTAATTATTAGACTCTTCATTTAACACAGAGAAAAGAGACTCTGAACCTTGTAAGCCCTTGAACTGTCAGAATGGAATACCAGTCAAAGACTTCTTGCTGATACAAGCCAGTAAAGAACACTTTAAAACATTCAGAAGGATGCTACCTGTTTACATGTTGTTTTTTGCATATACGGCTAAGCTATTTAAATTTGCACTTGAATAGCTTTCATATCTGATTTGAGGATTTTTTCCTGAGGGCAGGGATTTACTTTATTCCATTTTTTTTTTTTTAGCAATTCTTCATAAATGTGAACACTTCTTTTCTGTCTTTCAGTTTGCCTACTTGGAGAAGCTATTGTTGGTCCATGGTGCTTGGAGTTACAATCGAGTTACCAAATGCATTCTGTATTGCTTCTACAAAAATGTGGTTTTGTATATTATCGAGGTAAGAGTAACTAAATGGATGGGTCTTACTGGTGCTTACTCCTCAAATTCTCTCTTATAAAAAGCAAAACTCATCCAAATGGATTGAGCTAAAATAATGGGTTTTTTCTTCCATATTTAACAACTTAAAAATCAGTTTCTCTCCTCAGATTTAGTTGACTGTAGTCTTGTAACATTTGTAAAAGGAAAAATGAAGGTTTCAGAACAGAGAAGCCTGGGATATGAGATGTCAGGCACAAAGTTAATTTCTTCTGTACAAATATTCTTATTGAAAGCATCTTTGTATTCATGGAAACATTTCAAGTAGAGCTTATATTTATAAAAACTTGAATTTGGGGCTAATTTAAATCAAAAGTTTGTTTAATAGAATTGGGAAAATCTCTATAGATAAATAGTAAACCAGGCAAAATGATAGCTGTTGTTTCCAAGTTACAAAGACTGTAGCTTAGCTGGAACTGAAATTAGTTTGCCTTGTTTTTTGGAAAGAGAAGACATAATTTTGCCCTACAGTGCCAGTGAAATGATAAAATCAGTCAGGTTATTTGATTTCATAATTAAAAGGTAACTAACTGTCTTTTGAAAATTAATTGCCTGAAGATGTCAAGTAGTGAAACTGGATTTTAAAGAGAGCTGAATACTGTTATTACCATTAATACATTGCATTTCAGCCTGCTTAAACAGGAGTGTAGTTCTCATGCTGCAGAATATAGCCTTGAATTTAAGAAGTATCAAGAAGGGATTTTTATCATGTGCTGTTGCTTAGTTAGAAACACGTGAGGAACTTGAACTCAGTGGTTTGGTCAGTTGAGTATCAAGTGATCACTTGGTACAGCAATTTCCACAGTGTTCATCACTTTTATCAATATAAGTCTGTGTGTGTGTGTGTGTATATATATATATATTAGGTTTTCTGTTTCTTTCTACAGTTTAGCAGCCATGAATGAGGTTGACAGATAGGAAAATTGCAACATTTAGAATTAGACAGATAGTTATATCAGTTACAGGAGACAGTGGGTAAGTAATGTATTGCTATTAAATAAGTCCTATAATGGTCAGTGTGTGTATGTCTGACTCTGTCAGGGTTTGATCAGCTTTTGTGCATGATGTTAGACTCTTAGAGAACAAATACTTTCCACTGACTTGTTCCATTTTTCCTGTGCCATTTCTGAATTAGCTGTTGGTTGTTAAAATTTCAGTACAGATCACTCTACTGCAAGAGTTATCCCACACATCATGTTTTTAGGAATGTTTTTTACATGCTGTTGGAGATGACAATAATATTTGTTATTGTGCAAAAGGAATATAAATAATTTTTAAAATTACTTTTCTAGTGGGTTTCTTACTGAGTGTGGCAATTGCTGGGGTTTTCCCTGAATTGTTCAGAAAATGCTTAACAACTTCACGATTATGTTCTATGATTCTTTTCTCCATTTGAAAATCAGTGTGCAAGTCCTGCTTCTAGCCCATTGTAGCACTGTTTGTCTTTGCTTCATTTACTGTAGTCTGACAGGTAGATTAAGTTCTGCATCAAATGTTGTATGGCTAAATTATGCTTTCCTATTGAGCGGCTGTGCAAGGGGTTGAAGACAAGTGAACGTCTCTGGGACCTCTGGCCAGAGATAGCTTAATCATTTTACCACAGGGAAGAATTTTATTAGCCAGATATCTCTGTATGATACATGCAATGCAAGTCTGCTCTGAGAATGTGGGGTCAGATATTCTCTTCACTGTCTTCGTCTGTGTTCAGTTCTTTCTGCAAGCTGTACTGAGGCAAAAGAGCTTTTGTGTCTCCTGAGTCTGTGACTAAGATCAGCTCCATCAACACCTGAGCACTGAAAAATATGTTACAAGATCCAGCCCTGCACCTCAGTTACCCCTCTGTGCTTATGCTGCATAGAAGTTGGGAACAAGTTTAAGGCTTAAGGAGGGGTAAAATGACAGAAGTAATCTTGTAGTCCTGCAGCAATGGGAAGAGCTCAATTTGGTTTTAGTCTCCCTGCTGAGTTTGCTTTATTAGCAACCTTAAGGAACTTCCCCTCCAAAACTGTATAAAACCAGCCAAATTGCCTGGAAACCCAAGAGATACCAGTTTTGGTATCCTGGGGATGCAAGGGAGAGAGGAGAGATCTTTAATTCCCTCCTTAGCTTTGCACAAGGAAAGATGAGTTGTTTTGTTGTCTACTGTGAGGCTCAGGAGTGCTGATCAGTTTGTGGTATGGAGTGATGCTCATGAAAGTGAAGCTCCACAAGGGAATAAATCCTTCAACTTAAATGCACTTCTGCACTGTTGCACAGCTGTGCATATGGTGCATTCCTGATTATTTCCCAGTCCGCTGGACAAATTTAATATCTACCTTTACTTTCTGTTTGGATGTGTGGTGTATGGGGAATATTCTTTTAGCATCATAATGAAGCAGGGATTTGAACATGAACTACTTTCTAAGCGTATCTTCTGAAAGATTGTACTGAGTAAATATTTATACAGTTGAATCAAAAAAAACACATTGTGAATATAACTGTCAGTTATACCTTTGTTACTGTATCTGTTTTATTTCAATGAAATTTTAACACCTGAGGAATAGATATTGTAAGCCTTACGTAAATGGGTTTTGCAGCAATGAGGCACTGGGGCTCTTCATAACTTTTATTCCCTGATACTATCCAAACACCAGAAGGAAGAGGTGGTGCTCCAGCTTAGCATACAGAACATCTGGACACAACTTGCAGAGGCATGCATTAAGATTAAAATTAAGTTAATTAAACAACGATAAATGCTTGAGAAGAACATTGCTGTCTCGTTTCCTAGCATCCCAATGTTGGTATACTAAAACCCCTCATACACTTAGAAGTTCATCTTGACACCGGTCACTCTTATACCCAGGGTATCCAAAGTGTTGCATCTCTGAAACATTAAATTTTATCAGCTTTTCTTCAGGTTCTGGGTTGAAATACGGATTTTTGTGGGAAAGATACTCAGGTAACTGCTATCATGGGCTTTACTCCTGAGAGATGCTGCAGGGTTAAGGCTGGTGCTTACCTTCCTGCAGTGGCTTCTTGTTTGTGGAGAGATAGGCCCAGGAACTGTTTTCAGCTGCTTTGATGACTAAAATGTACGCCTATATTGGGACAATTTCATATAGCTGGAGAGGTAGTATAACAGAAGGCGAGCCTCATGGTTTAGTGATTGCAGGGGAAACAGAGGTGAATATATTTTCCCTCTTGCTTGATAAGGCCCTCCTAATATTTTTCAAGAGGTGAATTTTAAGTCATCAGAGTAATAAAGCCCAGTGAAGTCTGAGAAGATTTTTGTCTTGGCTTAACAGCTGTGTTCCATTCCTTTCTCTGGCTGATCTCTCCTTTAGCATTTCTTCATCATTGTCCTTCTGCTGTTCTCTTGATTTCTCCCCTTGATTTTTGAAAATACAAAACTCACTGAAATACAAACAAAAAGCAGAAAGAGCAGCAGGTCCTGGAAATGCAAGTCCTTTTTGATGTGCTTCTTAGCCTGAGCACTTGCATATCACTATTGCTGAGGTGCTTTAGGGTATTAAGTTGAGGTTCCCTTGCTTAGGGAGTCACGAAGAGGGGTGCAGAATCAAAGCTTTCCATCCACAGAGCTGATTGATACATTAATTGCTGCTGCTTTCCCACTCTTGACTGGCCATGCTGGTTGCAAGGGAATCTACAAGTATGGCTGCAGCGATGAAATACAAATATAAAGCCCTCTCTTTGGTGTCCATTCCTATATTTCCTGTGTCTGGCTGCAGTAGCGCTGTACACTAAAGCCCTTTCTGAGGAAAGCAAACCATTCAACATCATCCTGAGGCAGAAGATCAGTGACAAGGTTATGGCTTTTGAAGATTTGACAGGCAAGTACCTGGGTATCCTTACAAAATACCATTTCATTTAATTACGTATGTACCTGGCTTTAAACTGACTAGTGAAATGAAAGGTCTGTTTCACATCTGTTGAGCAGATATATTTCACTGGAGATGACATAAAGTTGTCCTGATGGTATCAGAGCTTTGAAATATAGCTGATTTCAAATGTAAAAGAATACAGGAATATTGCTTTCATGCCATTCTTGGAGAAGTAAAACACAGCAAGATCAAAGATGAGATCAGAAATATCAGGTAAGAGTTTAAGACCTTTGGGAGTGGTTCTGTGGAAACAGTAACATGGAAGATAGCTTTCAGGCCAACACAGTGTGCGGGAAAAGTGTGCTCAGTACTTCACTGGAACATGTTAGTTTTTTGAAATGTACCTGATATGAAGTGCTTTTGTATTATATATTGCAGAATGAGTTGGGAGTCGGAATAGGTGGTCCCAGTGTCAAGGTCTGGCAGTGGAGGGCCATGGCAGAGAAATGGATGACAAGTGGGAAGGGGAGAATATAGCATCCATAACCTTATGCTGCATTATTCTAATTTCTGCCTTAAGAATCCAGAGATGAATTGTAAGGCCATATTGGAAAGCTGTTTCTTTGTGGATCCTGAAAGGGAAATCTTAATATGTCAGCAGTGTTAAACAAACAAGATAAGTGCGCTAAAGAAGAAAACACCAGGATCATAATTTTTCTTCTAGAGTTGAATTTTCGAGTTTCAAAAACTCCGAGTAAACACAGTTTATAGATAAACATGCTTTTAAAGAAGTGGTGGTTTAGTGAGTCAGCAAGGTCTGGCAATGAGAGCTGTTAAGTGCTCCACACACTTAGTGGTCACCACTTCAGATGAGCTGACAGCACAGGCTGCAAAAGCTCACATGAAATGTTGCTGCTTAAGACCTTTCATTTGTTTTTCCTGTTGTCATGGTTTCCTGTCAATCACAACAGGTATTTTTAAAATATGGAAAGCAGACATGGGAATTTTAACTCTTATCCAAATGGTATGCAGAAATGAGTGTATCTGATATGTTAGTAAAAAATATACAGCTCTAATGCTTTGGTGTGCTTATCCCTGATTTATGTAATCTGAATTCTGCCTACATCCCTGTGCTTTCTGT